AGACTATCATCTATTTGACAAGGTGAAAATAATAAGTAGGGAAGGAGAGAATCTTGCTGTTTTCCTCTTTGATTAAGGAAAAAAAATGGCTCTCAACTTGATATCTCCAGCTCACAGCATCATTAGATTAGCAATATTTGAGTCAAAATGATAATTTTAGTGGCTAAAAACCATTGTTTCCTATCAGCTATACTTACTGTATATGACAAGTGTCATTATCTTAACTATGACTCTGCTTAAAATATACCACCTGCAAAGCTGAATGGAAGTTGACAAAGAAATAATCCATAATTTCAATTTGCTATGTTCGTGGCATATTTCCATAATCCAGTCTTAAGTTGCTTGCTTTACATTCTATTATGTAAACACAGCATGCTCTCAGCCACATAGGAGATTCTCTTTTAGCATTTTAAAATTGGGCGATTTTCATAGACTATAAAAAAAAAAGGAATAAATCATTGTATGGATATTTCCTTTTAGGTTTACATAACACAGGAATAATTAATTTCATTTCTTTACTGACACACTTGATTTCATTCTATATAGTTCTATATAGAAATATCGCCAAGTTTCTCTGCTCCCCTACGTAGCAAAACTCCTTGAGAGCTGAATATACTCCATGTCATTGCCTCAGATTTCTCCCTTCCCGTTCCCTTTCTTCTTAGACTCTTTATTACAAAATAACTTCAGATTTATAGAAAATTTGCAAAAATGGAGCAAAGAACATTCATATACCCTTTACCCAGATGCACCAATTATTGTATTTTGCCCAATTTGCCTTGCTGCTACTTTCTTCGTAACCACTTGAGAGTTTGTTATACACAGCATGCCCCTTTATCCCTAAATATTTCAGCATGTATTTTCTAAGAACAAGGGATTCTTTCATGTAACCACAGTTCAGCTATCCAATTCAAGACATTTATAGATAGGATATTATTATCTCATACACAAGTCCATATCCAAATTTTACAAATTGTCCTAATAATGTCATTTATGGAAATCTTTTTCTGATCCAGGATCCAGTTTGGAGCCGTGCATTGCATTTAGCGCACTATATCTGGTATCCATTATTATGAAACAATACCTGAGGTTCTCTTTGCCTTTTATGACGTTGACTTTTTTTTAAGAGTACAGGCCGATTGTTTACTTATAGAGTATGCTTCAGCTTGGGTTTTTCTAATGTTTTCTCTTTTGGGGGATGGGATGTGCATTTGGGGCAGGAACACTGAATAGGTGATGTTGTGTCCTCAGTGAATTACATCAGGAAGAGTAAGATGCCAGATTTTCCTATGACCGGTGATGTTAACTTTGAATAGTTAGTGAAGATGGTGCCCCCTCTATATTTGTCCATTTTTTCTTTTCCGATTAATAAGTTATCTGTGAAGAGATACTTTGATGCTGTGTAATTATCCTGTTGCTTTTTAAGCTTTCACTTAACAATTTTATTGTCCATTAATGATCTTGGCCTGAATCAGTTATTACTATAAAGGCTGCAAAATGGTAACTAACTCTTATTATTTCTTCTACCTTATTGGTCAGCACTCACTGCAAGGAAGAGCTTTCCCTTATTTATTTACTCGCTTGCTTACTAACAGTATGGACTGCTGGAGTCTTCTTTCAGTCGATGGTTTATAATCCACTCTTCTATTATCCATGTTGAGTTTCAGCTTTTCCCGTATTTGTTCAGAGGGACCCCCTTCACATTGTCTCCTCTGTCATTTTTCTATGAGCCCACCATTTTTTGAGCTCTCCCTTATTTTCTGGCATTACAAGAAGTTACAGTTCATCTTGATTCTGCCTGCCCGAGTCCTAGACTTGGCCATTTCTCCAAGGTTATCTGGTTCATTTTAGTGATAACTTGTATTTAAATAACAAAATCTGAGTGCTAGATGTGCCTGTAGCTACTGGGTGTTGTTGCTTCTAAACATACAATAAAACGTGCTCTTTTAAGGGCATAGTTCAATGAATTTTTACAGATGTATACACCCATGGTCAATTCTCAGTCTTCATTATACTTGATCTATTAGCAGCATTTGAAACTGAGGAGCAAATATTGCCTCCTTGCAATATTGTCTTCACTAGGCCTCCAGGAAATGATACTCTTGGTTTTCGTCCATCCCCGCAGGATAACTTCTTCTCAATCTCCTTTGGTTCTCTCTACTCTTCTCCACACCCTTTTAAGTTGAAGTACTCCAGAACTCAGATTCTGATGCTTTTCTCATCTGTAGTTACACTCCCTCCCTAGGTTAATCTCATCTGACAACTCCCAAATTTGTATCTCAAACCCAGTCTTCTCCCCCAAGCCCTGGATTTTTATATCCACTTATTTCTACTTGACATCTTCAACTGAATCTCCAATTGACATCCAAATGCAACATGTACAAAACTGAAATCCACCCCACACCTGCTCCACCCGTAGCCCTCCCCATCTCAGGTGATGGTAGCTCCATTCCCCCAGTTATTTAGGCCAAAAACTTGAAGGCACTCAAAGTATATTCAGAATCCCTCCACTTCTACTCTCCACTGTTCCCCCCATGATCTAACCAGCCGTCGTTTCTTGCCTGGATTATTCCAATAGCTTCATAACAGATCTCACTGCGTCAAAGCTTGCTGCTACAATCTCTTCTCAACACAGAAACCACAGTGACCCTTTTTAAATGTTAAGTGTTTCCATATTACTCTTCCTCTCAAAACTTTGTGGTGGTTTCACATTTCACTGACAGTAGAGCCCAAGCCCTCACAATAGCTTTCAGGGCATAATCCTCACACACACACCCACTTTGCTCTATGACCACATCTCTTCCTCCTTCCTTTTCCTTTCCTCCCCATCCACACTGAACTGCTGTTCACCCCACATGCCAGCCAACCAAGCACGTTCCCACTCTAGGGTTATTCGAGCTGGTCCCTCTGTAAGGAAGGCATTTCCCCAGATATCTGCTCGGCCAGCTCCTTCATCTCCTTCAATTTTGATCAAATCGTAGCCTCTAATGAGGCCAACCCTGACTACCCTAACACAGAACCCTGGATCCCTCATTCCCTGCGTTTCTTCCTTCACCCTTTGCACATACCAGCTTCTAATACACTTTTATACATTACTTCTTTTTTGTTGTTTATTGTCTATCTCTCTATGTTAGAATGCAAGCTTCTTGAGGACAGGGATCTTTGTTTTGCTCACTGGAGGATCTAGAACTGAGGGATCTCACCAAGCATCAGAACAGTGCCTGTTCCTTAGTAGCACTCAAAACTTTTTTTTTTTTTTTTTTTTTTTTGGCCATGGCAAGCGGCTTGCAGGATCTTAGTTCCCCGACAAGGGTTTGAACCCGGGCCCCAGCAGTGAAAGTGCCGAGTCCTAACCACTGGACCATCAGGGAATTCCCTCAAACATTTTTTTTTTTGGCTGCATTGGGTCTTCCTTGCTGTGGCATGGGCTTTCTCTCCTTGCAGCGAGCGGGGGCTAGTCTTCGTTGTCATGCACGGGCTTCTCACTGTGGTGGCTTCTCTTGTTGCGGAGCATGGGCTCTAGGCACGCGGGCTTCAGTAGTTGTGGCTCAGGGGCTCTAGAACACAGGCTCAGTAGTTGTGGCGCACGGGCTTAGTTGCTCTGTGGCCTGTGGGATCTTCCTGGACCAGAGATCAAACCCGTGTCCCCTGCATTGGCAGGCAGATTCTTAACCACTGCACCACCAGGGAAGTCCCCCCTCAAAACATTTTTTTAATGAATGAACCACTTTATCCTGTACCTTAACTTGATAAACAAATAGAAATGAGTGAGAATCCATCAGTAGAACTGAGTCTATATATGCCATTTTCAATATTGATGTGAGCCTAAGCACCCAACTTCAGTTTACGCCTCTTATCTCCTTATGTTTTTGTTTACATCTCCCCACACATGAAATCTAGAACCATTTTAAAATAAAAAGAATTTTAATCAGGTGGCATTTTCAGAAAGTAGTAGGTGTTGTCTGCCCTGAATTAAGTCCTTGCGTGCATAATTAATCCAAGTAACGAACTGAGTTTGGTCATTCCCTGCCCTTGGGGAGTGCCACATTGCTAAGGAGACCCTTGCCCATTGATTCCTGGGCTTCTAATATCCACTGTGATTTTGAGTTCTATAAAGGAAAAGGGGACATGGGAGGAGGCACGAGAGAGCCCAAAATTTCTTTGTATATGAACTGTACGTTTTCCTACTAGGACTGTTCAGTTGACTCCAGATCTAAAATCGGCAGCAGACGTCACTTATGTGGCTGAATGATTCATAGAATTTCAGCTGAGATGAGACATACCTTGACAGACATTCAAATAATGTGCTTGGGGTATTTCTGGACAATCAACAGTCAAGTTTTAAAAGGCACATGTGACAGGAGTATTAAAATATCTGTACTGACAGGATCAGATTTTTATGGCCACCAGTAAAAGAGAATATACTCCATCAAGAAATAAACACCCACTCTGCTTCATGTCATGGCAATCTAGGTCACTCTTGGGCTGAGATTTTTAATTCCTTTACCGCTGATGTTCCTGGGACATTAGGAAACATCTCCTCATGTCTAAGCTAGTGTATTCTCAACTCTTCTAATTCAGGTGAAGGATTTCATCAGACTAGAGAGAGGATAGGATGAGAACGTGTTCTAAATTTTGGAACCTCAGCTCCAGTATAGCAGAAAAAGAAGCATAACTGTTCCTTAAATGCATGCAGAAGTATGTGAATTCACTCACTAAGTTTACCAGCATCATTAACAAGAAAATGAAGTTTTTAATTCATGTATTTCATGTCTTCCAAAATTAGTCAGAAATATCTCATTTTAATGAATGTAACATATACGAAATATCATTTTTTCTAGAAAAATTGCAAATGCAGAGTTAAATGGTCTGTATTAAGAAAGCACTGTGAGAGCATCTCTTGGATTTCTCTCCTTTATATAGTACATTGTAGTTTTACATAGTGGAGAAAAATGGGGCTTTTTAAATATATAACTTCTGAATTTGATTACTTTCCACAGATACAACACACTCAGGGGAAATTGGCACCAAGAAAAAGGTGAAAAGACTGTTAAGCTTTCAAAGATACTTCCATGCATCAAGGCTGCTCCGTGGAATTATACCGCAAGCCCCGCTCCACCTGCTGGATGAAGACTACCTTGGACAAGCAAGGGTGAGCTAGTTACCCCTCTGTCGCCTCATACCAGGCCAGTGGCTGAGAGCATGTGCCCCCCTCTACTCCCCATCCCTCCCACCCCGACCCCCCAATAGCACCTAGGTTTGAGTCTTTACTTCTGTCACTGAAGAGCTCCGTGCCTCTGGACAGTTATTCAACACATCTGGACTTTTTCCTTAAATATAAAGTGAAGTAATAGAAACGCTCACCTCATAGGGGTGGTACAAGGATTAAACAAGGTAAAGCATGTTTGCATGCTTAATATACTCATGCCCAGCACATGCTAGCTATTTTGATTTTTATAAATGTGCAAAACACATTTGCACAACACTAAATAAAATGAAGTTTTGGACTGGCCGATTACCAGTGAAGGAATAAATTTTTTAACCCGTTGAATTATCTCACCATAATAGCTACCCTGAAATTAACCCAGTAATTACTAACTCTTAATTCCACTTTAGGCTATCAATACAGTGCACTGTCTTTTTTATAATTTTTAATTTATTCAAAAAAATTTTACTAATTTGACAACTATTTTTGCAAAGCATTGATCCAACAGAGGGTAGAAATCTAATGTGTGACAATCTAAAAAAAGTTCAGAGGTTATCTCTAGCCCAAACTCCCAAAGGAATTTAAATTTCAGGAATAAACCACCTCAGTTTAAACAGAAGTCAAAGGTAATATCTTATAGTTCCTATGATAAGGAATATTATGCTGTCTATATGCAATTAAGAAGTACATTCTAATGGTATATACTATTAAGAAATAAGCAGCAAGTAATGTTAGAAGAACTAATTCCCCACATTAGGTCTACAAAAAGAAAGCAAATATCACTCCTTCTAACAGCCCAAGGTCTGAGATTGAGTGAATGGTTGGTTGGTTGGTTGTTTCATTTGGTGAGAGGAGGAGAAAGCAAGGCTAAGCTCCCAGTGCTGGAGCATCCGTGACAGAGCACTCTCTGTGGGGACCTCTCAAGAAAGACAACGGTGAGATGTAGAAAGAACAACAGACCAGGGATCAGGATATCAGAGATCAAATTTTGGCTCCGCCTTTAGAATTGTGTGACTTTGGGATAAAAACTCACTCAAACTAGACTTCACCAAAACCCTACTATCCCTTCATTTTTCTGATGCTGTTCTGAAGGCCTTTGTGTGCCATGATGAGGCCGTTGGATTTTATCAAAAGACACAGGGAGGCCATTCAAGGGCAGGTAGAGGAGAGTGAGCTGGTCCTTACGGGAAGCAGGGCCTGTGAGAGGAGAGGAAAGCAGTCGCAGGAGCTACAGTGAGGATAGAATCAGCAACTGCAACTTTGTGTCCGAGAGTTAACACCATCTAATCCCAATCAGGGGGTATTATTAAAAAGAAAAATAGCACAGTAAGTCGACATTGAACAGTAGGTCTTTAGAGTACCCAGTATTTTCAATTGCCCACACTTCCGTTTCCTGTCTGTTACAGGGGTTAATTTCACATTTCGCCCACATGGAGCAGAGTGGTGTGCCCATCATCGTCTAGGTTTCTTTTTTTTAAGTTCACTGTAAACCGCCTCCCCTAAGTGCATAGTAGTTTGTGATGTAGAGACTTAACGGAACTACCATTTTAAAAGGTATCTATCGTGTGCTTACTATGTACTCGCACCGCTCTAGGCACTTTTACGTGTTTTACCTTATTTAATCTTCACGACAACCCTCTGAAGCAATAGCATTATCAGCTACATTTTTCAAATTAGGAAACCGAGGTACAGAGAGTTAAGGAACTTGCCCAAGGTATCACAGCCAGTAAGCGATGCAGCCGACATAGGATGTGGCGGTCCGATTCCGGAGCCTGTCCCTTTAACACTGTTGTTATTAGGCTGCAGAGTAAGATTTGTCTTACTACAAACCAGTTGTACATAGATAGTAGTATGCTATTTTCAACTGTTTAATTGTTTAATTCACGATGTCTCAAAGTAAATATTTGAGTCTCCGATATGATTCATGAGAGTGCTGGTTTTTGTTTGTCTTTTCAGCATATGCTCTCCAAAGTGGGAATGTGGGATTTTGACATTTTCTTGTTTGATCGCTTGACAAATGGTAAGTCACCCAAAAGAATTCTCACTAAAGTACACACCATTAAAGTGGGATTAATTTTGTGAAAAACAAAATATATTTTTAAACACTGTTATTCTTTTTTCTTTCTTTTCCCACATTCATAAATCTACAGCCACTCAAGAAGGACCAGGGCAAGGGAAAATTAGTTCAAATGAAAAAGAAGGGTTGAATTTGGACCTCAAATCTTAAGACAGTTTCCTTCTGGTCTTGCTGTTTCCAAAGCAATTTAGAAACCACAGATTAGATTCCTTCCTTGCAGAATACTTTGGCCACATGCAAAAGGAAGGAGTTTGTTGTGAGTCAATGAAAACTAGAAACATAAAAACACATCTGATCAGTCCTGACTCTTACTGGGCCAATGGTTTTGCACTTTTATTAAGTGAGCGAGTCTGCCCCATTACAGGTATTGTTCAGATATGTTTGGCATCATGAGAAGAAAACAACTCCTGAGGATAGAGTGTAAACACTTAGGCTGCAGCTGAAGGGAAAAGTAGACCTTCTTATTGTTTCCACTTTTTAAATTTTTGTGCCTATAGAGGCTTCCCTTAAGAAAACAACAAAATCCTATAATATTTTCATCTGCCCATTAAACGAATGCTGATAATAGGGAGCCAATGAAAGACGTCACGTTTAATGCTGACCGTCACATGTCCTATCATCTACAGGCTTGTGTTTTAAGTCATTACAGATGGTTTTCTCAGCATTCTGTTTCTTGACAAACAACACACAGTGGAGAGAGATACGGCCTAAGACCATGAAACTGGGCTTTACACTGTGGAAAGATAACTAGACCATATAGGGCTGTATCTCATAATCTTGCATTTCACTTTGCTCAAATCAATTGAGAGATGGGGACCAGTATATGAAATTAGCCATGAACAAAAGAATTTGTTCAATGGTATTTGTTAAAAAGAGAGTATAATCACGACTCTCATAAAGATATGAAGTGATCACATCAATGATTTTATTAAACTCAATTAATTAGAGATCCAGTAAAATGTTACAGCTAGTCCAAAGGAATATTCAAAGAGCCATACATATAAAAGCAGTAAGAAATGCCAAAATGAATTTGTAAATAGGTGAGAAACTGGGAGGGGGAAATCACTAATTTCATTTGCATGTATACAGCCAAGAATCATGTGCAATAATATCAGTTATCTACAACTTTGATTGTCGTGAAATAGCTCAAAGATGATGAAAGCTACAGAAACACATAGAACCAGGTACCCTGGAAGGGTGTGCTTGGGCAACACCTAGTTTTCCAATTAAGACAGCCAGTCATCTTCTTGGTACATTTCAAAGTCTTTCATAAACTTTATAATGCTTTTAATATTTAAAATCCTTATCTCTAATGAACAGTATTTCTTGAATGCTTACAAGTTATTGTAGCTTCAATTTTGCGCCTCTGCTGGCTTGAGTTATAAAATATCTCACAGTCAAATTTCATCTTGGGTGATTTTCCAAAAGAAGAATAGGCACTGTGGTGGCTTAGATACCCCTGTAAATGTAAGAGTCAATTGGAAGCAACTTAAGACACATTTCAAGTGACCATTAAACTATGTCTTTAAAAAAATAACCATACACACACACACACACACACACACACACACACACACGTGTATGTGTCCCTGATACTGCAGTAGGCAGACTCCTTTTAACTCTTAATGTTTTCATTGCCTTTTGGTATAGGGAGAAGGTCTGAGTTAATTTTACTTGTACAGTAAGAGAAAATATGGGACCAGATCATAGTAATAGTGTCTTTATACTTGAATAATTTTAAATCTAAAGGGGAAAAGAAATGATCCTATCAGAGAACTTTCATTACAGAAACTTTGGCTCCTATTGCTAGTCTTGATATTTTAATGGTGATGAAAATGGATTAAAACAGGTGGCTGTTCCCCTATAGGAAACAGCCTGGTAACACTGCTGTGCCACCTCTTCAACGCGCATGGGCTCATTCACCACTTCAAGTTAGATATGGTGACCTTACACAGGTTCTTAGGTAAGTCCGTTTTTCCTTATTTCTACCCCCTTGCCCCTGAAAAATGGCAGTCTACAATATTCTTTAACATAAATTGGCAAGAGCCATAGCCTGGTAGATGAAGACCTCATATTAGTCTTAAATTATCTCATCTTAATTTTAAAATAAGTTTACTTATTTAAATCACTGGAAAAAATGCTTACCTGATTAGTTATGTTTAAAAGAGATAAAGGCTATGTAAAGACAACCTTCAAGAGCAAATAACTGTCACAGAAGTTACTGATCTGCTCACGTATGAACAAAATCCCGGAAAATATTCCTCGAATAATGCCACTCTGGATATGAGTTGTTGAAATATTCAACAGGCTTCTTTTTAATGATAAGAACTACCATGTGTGTAGCACCCACTGTACACAGGGGGCTTTTGGTATGTTATTTCTAACAGCGTCAACAACCCTGCAAGTTGGCCATTATCACCATTTGGCCCATAAGTAAGGAGAAGTACAAAGAGGTTTTGTAACTTGCTCAATGTCAACAACATATAATTGGCAGAGCTGCAGTCCAAGCCCAGGTCTGTCTGATTTGAAAGCCTACCGTCTTCCCACTCAACTCCACCATCTCTCCGCATCAAGAAGCAGCCCCAGATCTCATTTGACTTCATGCGTATTCTTATTTATCTTCCAGTGAATTATCCAGGGCACACTTCTAGTCACCAAATGACTTTCCTCTGCCTCTTAGTGTGTTCCTGGTTTCTTTGACTTGGCACATGGCAGTGCTTTGCATTTGGAAGCTGACTTCATGCATCAAGGATAAAATAATGGTGATGGTGATAACAACAGTAGCAGCAACCACCAGGCTTATATAGTGTTTACATATGCTGGAAAGTCTTCTAAGAACTTGCATATATTAACACATCTAATCCTTACAGCACCTCTTTGAGATCAGAGCTGTTGTTATCCCTATTTTATAGAGAAGGAAAGGGAGGAAACTTTCGGTTAAGTAACTTGCCCAATACAGATAAGTAATAGAGCCAGGGTTCATATAATAGTCAAATAAACCTGCTGATTAAAAGGTACATGTGGCACAACAGAAATACTGGAAACAAGCCAGAGCATGGCTCATTCCAGAAACACAGATAACCTCAAGCTAATTGTGTTCAGATTGATTGAGCAAAGTAATGGCCGTGAATAGAGCCAAATAATCTTGATTTGTCTAAAGAGGGAGAGCACAGATACTTTGGACGTGTGTATGCACCCAGAGTACATGGGGAAAAGGCAAAGATTCAATGACAGAAATAACACTGGAATCCAGAGCCAGAGTCATAGCTGGGCTGAGAGAACAAAGCCACACTTGAAAGCCAGGACATTCTATACACACTGAATATATTGCATCCTAGTCATTGCCTTAGTTATTAGCTGAAGCAGGCAAGTAGCTTCTGTAAATAGCAAATTCAAATTGCCTTCCTTGTGTCTCTATTTGGTTCCAAGAACACTCCGGTCCCTAGATTGGAAGGGCAAGAAAGATGATCATTTAATAAGATAGAAATAAATCCAAGGATTCCTCAGCTGGATCTATGAATTTCTGCCTGAAGAATCCCCAGATTTGCTCTGGTCAGTATTTGTTACTTAAGTGATAAAGCAACCTTTGGATGAGAGTAGGTCTCTTTAAAAGGAAACCTCTTTTATTGGCACATTATTCTTAAATGGCAGCAAACTTAAATAATTAAACTATAGTGTGAGATAAAGTTGCCCTTTTCCTACATATTTATTTTTCCAATGAATGAGAGCCTTCATGAATGCCAGAGAGGGGTGATTTATGAAGGTGGTGAGGAATCCCAAGGGCCTCACAAATCCTTTTAGCCTTTCTTCCCTCTTCCCTCCCCCTCCTTCTCCACTGAAATCAACCCAGTAGAACTGCCAAGCTGGCAAATCATGTCCATTTCTAAAGCATCCCCAGGCTGCACATTTTGGAGACACTGTTATTTTTAAGCAAAAGGGACCCTCAATAAGTCTGAGCTAGTATGTCCTTTGTGTTTTGTTTTTAGCTGATTGAGTTATCTGTTTACCTCCTAGTCATGGTTCAAGAAGATTACCACAGCCAAAACCCTTACCACAATGCTGTTCACGCGGCCGACGTCACCCAGGCCATGCACTGCTACCTAAAGGAGCCAAAGGTAAGGCAAGACCCGCTGCCTCCTCGGCCATCTGGAAATGCCATGTAAACTACCTGCCGGGTCCCAAATCACCTGACATATCAGAGCGACTGGGTTATGGGCCAATTTAGAGCATGAATACAAATTGCTTATATTAAGGTTTCAGTATCAGCTCTGAAAACTGTATAATAGTCATGAAAGAGGATGTAAGTTTTCAGAGGTTCTGTTTCATAATTTATATATTTTCAAGGCTGCATTAGGATGAAAACAACCCTCTCTATGACAATCTACGTCCTAGATATCTTCAACCATCACAAAAGTTAGCTGCTTTTGCCTTGAACCTTTGCCACAAACAGTACCAGAACTGAACTTTTCTAGGAAGTCTCCCACCTCGTGGTCTTTGATCAACAAATAGAATTAAAACTCCTCAAGACTCAGCTGCATTTCCTACTGAGGCAACTAGGCATCCTGATTCAGGCCCAAGAGAAATTGTGAACATCAAAAACCTCTTTAAAAATATGCCTAGATGCAATGTATTAATCCAAAATTTAAAACATGATAGTAATGCTCGTTACTTAAAACCTAGGCCTTTCTTAGCCATATAAAACCTAGCTGTTAAGACATACAGGATGAGGTTTTTTTAGGGTTATCCAACCCTGGATATCCAAGGAAAATGATATCTCAGTCCAAGACTCTGTTTAGTTCAATCAGTTTTAACATCAACCACTAAATATACAGATGCCAGATAGGCATTCCCAAGACAAAACTGGGTATGCCTCATCCTTATAAAATATCCCAAAGACATTAAAGGTTTTGTTATTTAATCCCTAAGTAATTTGAAAATTGTATAGATTGCACAGCTGTGTATTTAAAGCTAACACTAGATTCCCATTTTCCTGCTTGTTTTCCTAGCTAGCCAAAAAAAAAAAAAGACAGATTCTCACACATTCCCCCACTTTATTTATTACACATTGAAGAAATATGCAAAGTTTGCAATTCAGCCCACTGTGGATTTCATATTCGAAGAAGTGGCAATGATATATTGGATGGTTGAAATACACAAGGGATTTTTTCCATCGCTTTGGCTTCAGCTTTTTCCTTCACTTACAGCTTTCCTAGGAGCAAGGCTGATTGATTTCAGACTCTGCCTTCTCCCCGCCCACTATAGAGCAGTGTTGCCAACAGGTAATACTACTACAACAACAAAACAAGACAGTAGCAGCAGGAAGGGGAGGCCACCTGGATGAGCTACACAATTTGAGTTGCTTAATTCCTTTCCTCACAGCCCTTTCTTTATTCCTGCGATTCCATGGTTTTATTACCTTATTGACAGCTTCAGAAGGTTAAGGTCTGGATGAAAGGCCTGAACGATACTATGATGATTCATTCAGTGCAATTTAGCCAAAACAAATGCTAACCTATTTTTGGAAACACACCAGTCAATCTCCCCATTCAATTCTTTAACAGCTCGCCAGCTCCCTCACACCTCTGGACATCATGCTTGGACTGCTGGCTGCCGCAGCCCACGATGTTGACCATCCAGGGGTAAACCAGCCATTTTTGATCAAAACAAACCACCACCTTGCCAACCTATATCAGGTAAGGGAGCCAACATGATGCAATATGGTTAACTGCTTTAGGCCCGGTGCTGTAGCCTGAATCTCACCCTTGGAGATAGCCTTCATTCAGGGTCAGCCTCAATGATGACCACAGCCAAAGAGCATGGGTTTGAAATAGGTTCAGAGTGTCCCCCAGGGAAGATTAAACTGGTTTACAAGGATATCCAAGGAATTCAATGTGCTCTGAAGCAGGTCTGAAATTGTTCTAAGTCAAACAGGATTCCTGAGTCTACTGTCTCATGGTCTGAGACTATCTGTCTCCATAGGAACCATCTAATATATAATGGCCAGTTGAAGCCAGTCCTTGTAGAACTTCTATAAATGATACTACCAGGTGCAATCCTAATTCAGATTTACATCTCTAGGGCCATTTCTTTTTTTAATCATGTTTTTATTTTTTTATTGAAGTATAGTTGACTTACAATATTATGCTAGTCTCAGGTATACAATATAGTGATTCAAAGATTTTACAGATTATACTTCATTTATAGTTATTATAAAATATTGGCTATATTCTCCAGGGCCATTTCTGAACATTTTGGCCTCTGAGTCAGAGGTATGTTATTGAAGACAACAGGCATACTTTGTTGTTATAAAATTGTTCAACAGCACGAGTAGATTGGCCCAAAGAACTCTTATCTATGATATTACTTCAGATATTATAACCCTATATCATAAATGAATTATTCCCAGAATTTTCAACATGGTTTGGGGGAGACCTTTGGTTGTCATTAACAAAATCATTGCATTCAAAGGAGTCATTGATCTCAATTTTAGTGCATCTTTTGAAAAAATTCAGTATGGGAAGAATTTCTAAAGGATTCCCGTAAAACAGTTGCGTTATACAAAACAGTGCAGCTTGAGGATAAAGTACAACTGAAACATGAAACAGAGCTTTCTTCCATCCAGTTGATTAGCTTTTGGTCCAGGTAGGAATTGTCATTCCAAGGTTTATGGATCCCCTGGGACATAATTCAGCACTCGGCTCTCTTGGTCTGTCAGCCAGCACCTGGAGCTGGGATAGAAATGACCATAATGAGGGGACAGGGTGACATAATTTAGAAAAACTTTTGATGATGAGCTGAAAACTAAACAAATAAAATGAAAACTAAACTTTCTAAACAGTCTCAGAAGCTAAATTTATTGCTTGGGGAAAACATTAAAAATTTGACCAGGGGAAAAAAAATGAATGACTGAACTGAGAGCTCCCAAATAGATTTTCTATTCCTGTCATATTTTAATTCTGACTTTTCAAATGTCTTTAATTAAATAAAGAAAATCAAGCAACAAGACTGGCTACTTGATCTACTTCCATATAATGTAAATGCTTACCTAATTCTAATTTCTTATCATCAAATAGATCACATCAATGGAGTTTAAGAGAGTATGTACTGCTGCTGACTGATTTGTACATGAAAATAAGGATCGTAAAGCTGTGCTTTGACATGTAGTGTATATAAAACACGTAATGAATGCACATTTAGACAGAAAGTCAGAAAGAAATATGCCAGATGTTAAAGATGTAAAAACCAAGAATGTAGAATTTCGTTAACTACTCATTGCTAATTAACAAAAATTGATTCTCAAAAGAAAGATACTGCAATTACTTGTTCATATACTAAAAATGTTCTCAAGTAAATGGATTCCTTACTCAAACTTCTGAAGTACAGATAATTTTTGATAATATTTAATCGCTTTGTTAAAAATAAACATTCCTATACAACCAAATTCTGCAGCCTTTTCAACACAACATACAGTCTTGTATATTTTGAACTAGCAACTATTGATTGCATGCATCGGATGATATACTAGGCTCTAGGAGTGCAAAGATAAATAAAATATAATCCCAGCCCTTGGACGTTGGTTCAAACTCAGATGCTCAAAATGTGCAGAATCCAAGAAAACTTAATCCCAGTTTGAAAAAGTTTAGAGGAGTGAGTTAGTTAGCCAAAGATATGCATGTATATCTCTGTATACATACCTAGAAACAACTTTTTTTTAAAGCCTCTGAAGACAAAATTTACCCATGCTGTTCTTTGTATTCAAAGATGTTACAACAATAAAGTGAGCTATTATTTTTTTTCTAGCAGTGACTTTATCCATCTGAATTGTCTGGCCTGATGCTCGATAGGAAAGAGAAGGATCCTCTTGATAATGACTAGACAGAAGTTGGCATACAGGACTCAAAAACCACATTCAAGAGACTATCTTCATCAGTCCCCTGCTCAAATGGTCTTAGGCTCTCTTGGAGGCTAGAGATCCATGTCTCTAGGTTTTAGGAACAGTGTTGAGGGCAAACCAGTATCACTTAATGTCATAAAGATACTTCCAATATCCTAGAGCTGGCTAGTATAAAAGATGAAATTTTATCAGCCAACTTGGGACTTTACATATTAAAGTAAAAATTGTTAAGAGGACCTAAAAGTAATATGAGATTTTAATTTTGTCCAAAAATATATATGTATGATGGCTTTTACATTTGGCTATAATACCGTTCTTATTAACTATATGAAGGAGCTCCAAAAAGATAAAGAAAATTCCCTTTAAAATTCAGTTCAATGAATTGTATAACTAACCTTTATTCAACACTTACTATGATTCAAACAAACACTGGGCTAAGTGATTTTATCTATTATATTATTTAATCTTCACAATAGCCCAGTTAGGTGGGTGCTATCATCATACCTATTTTCCAGAAAGAGGAAAATTGTTATTAGGAAATCCAAGTGGGTTTTCCTGAAAATAAACAGCTAATTAATGGCAGAGGTGGAATTAGAACTCAAGACTTTTATCTCCAGAGCCAAATGTGCCTAAGCACCGTACATACCGCCTCTAAAATTCATATTGATCACCTGTGATGTGCAGGAAAGTAAGAGCTCTCCTCCAGGTTCTCCTATCGCAGTGAGGGAGACAGGAGGGTTATAGACATGTATCAATAGCTTAAGGTGGGAGAGCCTTTGCTAAGTGCTCTACGGTAGTTAGCTACAAACAAAATGTGATGGGAAGACAGAGCCAAAAGAGAAATTGATTCTGCAGATGGTTTCTGGAAATAAAAAAAATTAAAACAAAAATAAACCTCATGGAGGGAGAGTAATATAAACTGGGCCTTGAAGTGTGAGTAACATTTTGAGTAGCAGGGCAGAGAGTATGACACCAAAGGCAGCATAAACTGGTGTACTTTGGGGATGAAAGCCCACAACTCCAGAGTAACTGCAAATGGACTGTTTCTGTGTCCTTGAGCTGAATATAGTCCTGTCGCGAATGGCCCTGCTCTCCGTTCAATGACTTGGGCATGTTATGATGAAGTGTATATTCTCCCTTTTGTAGACACTGTAGATTAGCTGTACAGAATGTGATCTGGGTCAGAAAATCATTTCGCATTGTCAGTGAAGAACTGGCATAACTCTTTAGGTTTTCAATTTCAAGTAAAAAAAATCGTGTTACATAAAATATCAACTCAGCAAGATCATTAACAACACATGATGCTTTAAAATCTTTGGAAATACAGCCTTTTAGCCTACCAAGGGCCTGTTGGTTGAGACATAAATAAGCTTTCAGGAAACTATATGCAGATTTTCAGACGACGTACCTTTACACATTTTTCTAGGGAGAGGATCCATGACTTATATTTTAAAATGAGTTTTATAGATCCAGAATATATTAAGAACTGTGATAACGAGTGAAAAAAATATATACACATCATATATATACATATATATTACACAATACATATACATATATTGTGTATATATATATATATATATATATATATATACACACTGTACATGCACATGAACATACATTTGGTCGAGAATAGCCAAGAAGATGTGCCAGGAATTATGGGGCTTTGAGAACACCCTGTGCGTGACTTTGTACAATCCAGACTTACTATAAATGAGATAAAATGGAAGAGGGCTTCCTCTCCCTCCTTTTGTTGGCTGTGCTCTTTTAGTTCTAATAAATAAGAAGATCATTGCATAAGACCCAGCCTGTGCTTCTGCCCTGAGATAAAGAGAGAGCCAGGGCAGCTGGAGTGAAGGCCAAGTTAAAGGGCTCTCTCCCATTGTCCTCTGTCTGGGCCAGACTCACTAGCTGAACTGCCAACCCAAGTTCAACATGAAGACCATAAAGGCATTTCCACCTGGCACTACTCTCATCAGACTGGAAGCAGTCCAGGTGTCCGTGGTGGACTGAGTGTACCTAACAGGATGTGAGAGATACAGCTGAGAATTTATTTTCTGTCCCTCCACCCTCCAATCCTCCAACATGTGGGTTCAGCAGTTTTGCAAAGTAACCGTTAAATCAGACATGATATTGCTTATTACAATTGCAAAAGGAATTGCTTTCAGTTCAATTTAAAATCTAGAATACGATACAAATGAACTTATTTACAAAACAGAAACAGACTCACAGACATAGAAAACAAACTTATGGTTACCAAAGAGGAACCGGGGGGGAACGGATAAATTAGGAGTTTGGGATTAGCAGCTACAAACTATTATATATAAAACAGATAAACAACAAGGACGTACTGTATAGCACAGGGAACTATATTCAATACCTTGTAATAAACCATATAAAACAGTTAATTCCTTTTGATAGAGTCCAACTACATATTAACTAGTGACAGAACAACCTAATGAATAAAATAATAATTAGTTGTTCCATGAAACATTGTATTTATTACATTCTCTATTTGTCTTGCAGAAGTTTATAATCATTTTTCTTGGTCACTTATCACAAGCACTTAGAAGAGGCCAGCATTTTTAACCACTTTTTATTCTTAATGACTCTGCACCATAAATATGAAGTTAGAGCCAGAAGACGTGTTCCTTCCATATGGTCCTATAACCTCTACTCAAACAAGCAATTGCAAAGATTATATGTAACCTCATGATTTCTGTCTCATGAAAGGTGTTTTTGGCAAGTGGAGTGAAAATTGTAAAAAGGAGGTTCAAATTTGATTTTCTGTTTCATAAAGTTTCCACTGTTCATAGTGAGGTAGCTGGCATGTGGCACATCCATGGCCCTGATCTGAACACAGGCCCGCTCCGTGGACAGCAATCAATGTTCGGGCTCCCTGTGAGAGCAGTGTCTTCGGCAGATGCAGATCAAACAAAAGAAAGACATCTTCCAACAGGCAGGAAACATGGCAGTGCTATAGTTTCTTCAAGGGCCAAGCTCTTGTTTAGGACTCAAGGAGCTTCTGTTCCTCTGAGACCTCCTGGGCTGGGGCCCTTGCAGCGTTACCAAGGAGACCACTGGGCTTGTTAGGGAAGAACTCAGTGACTTCATTATCTTCTGGAGTCTTGCCTCCCGGTTTCGTGAGCAATTAAAAATGAAAACAGAGACTATGTTCCTGTTGTTGTTTTTCTTCCTGCCTCCACTGGTTTAAAAGGTGTAATTGACTCTGAGTCTTGTTGTACACCAGACTCAGTTTATCAACGTCATTCTAAGTATTTTAATCAAAGAAAGTGTCCAGTAAATAGGAGAAAAAAAACAACAACAGTTTAAAGCTGCTCTGTATGATAGCAGATCTGCTCTGCCAGATTCTCTTTGACAAAGAGACTCTCGGTTTAACTTGAAAACCTGTGTTGGTGGTTTATTAAATGCCAGATGTGTTGTTATTCTAGAACAAAGAGACTGTTTTTTTCTTAGGGTGGATAATACTTGATTATTCAGATAAAAGGGGAAATAAAGATTTTGCAGTAGCGATTTGAAGAGTTTTATTTTGTTCAATATAAATTCCGGTAGGTTTTGTTGCCACAAAGGTGGATGCTTACTCTCTCAACTTTACAGTGAAGATTATTCTTATTAATAAAACTACAGGTATGAAGAGTTTGTGACACTAGAACACATTCTCATTGGAATGATGTGAGATTGCTGAGCTGCTGCTTCTGAAGGTAGAGGGATGTTGTACCTACTGTGGGATTCCAAAACAGTGCTGGGATTTAAATGGCTATTAAAGCAATATCATCTCATCCTATGTTCAGATCTCCATGAGCATTTCTGATG